TAGTGCATTCTGGTAAATTATCTCTACTTCAATATATAAACCTATACGGCCTTATTACAAACAATACTTAAACCAAAACTGCGGAGCCTAGGTTTAACTCTTAAACCATTGTCTAAATGAATCTAAGTTAGTACCATAGTTAGTCCAGTACAAACGTTAAACTTCGTTTAGTAATAAAGATTTCAAATAAACTAGGGTTTGAACAAGTTTGAGAGTTAGTCCTTGTTTTGTAATAGAAAAGAGTGGAAGAGTTTGTTTGTTTGAAGGCGCTAATGTCACGAAGAACTGGGAAGATTTTTATTAGTGTTGGTTAGAGAATGTATCGAAAGGAGAAGGTTATATGCTATAAAATATCGAGCTGAGACTAATGGGAGAGCGAAGAAGAAGCGGTAAATGTGGAATAACCGGGAAAATCTTTGTGGATCGGAATCTTTCCGATGCGCACGCTCAGAAAACAGTTCAAAATAAATGATCTGACAAAAAATTACTGCGACCGTATATAATATACTTATATACTATCTTTAAAGATTAACTTGTAAGAACGACGGAACGCGATCGACGTGGTAGGTAAAGGCTAAGGCTTAGTATTATAAAGACGAAGAGAGTTTGCAAAAACCACTTTTAATCCCCATATAACTATTTTTGGGAATAATTTTTTGTCAAAATAGTTGGATATAAATATATTTTTATATATAAAATATATTTTGTTTGATGTTTTTAATATATTTGTTCGTTTTATTATTTTTTCTATCTATATCAACATAGTCCGTAACAATATGTCACACCGCCGAGCGTGGTTCATTGATTGAATTGTCACTTTTTGTCTCCGTGATTCCCACAGACTGTTTGAACCAGTTGCGACATTTTCTTTATATTTATTAAACGGATAGACGTTTTGACCAAGGTATAATTGTAAAACTCGTAAAATAAAACTTACCATAATACTTATGTAACTTAATTACATAACTAATATCAAAAGAAATAACTTACTAAGAACTTAATATGTAATAAAAAATGAATGTTTTAATACTATAGCATAATTCTATACAGTTTTTTTTGCCACAAATGTATTATACCAACTGTTTTAATTGAACTGTGCATTATTTTTTTGTCCAATCACGACACGTCTCGTGTCCAATTCATTCAATTACATACACCGATCTCTGTGTCAACATGTCAGTTGTAATAATGTCAGTTAGTCTATCTCGTCCTATTTATAAGTTTAAATTAAATAATGCTACGACTCACTGAATAGTGGCTACATATTATATAGTTATAATAGATTATATTAAGCTAATATCTATTGCAATAAAATTTCTGTAGTTTAAGCGAGTAGTACACATTTAAACAAAACGGTTTAAAACGCGATATATGTTAGTTAAACTTAAAACTCGAGCGCCATCTGTTCCGTCGATTGTTTGCCTTGTGACCACGGCTGCTAAAAAGCATCCGAAAAGCCGGGCTGTAGTTAAAATATTCTCAAAATAAGTTAAACTTATATACATCGTGTTCTAAACCGTTAGAAAGTTTTATTTCAATAAAACCTTTTACATTATATTTTGTCGGACGTTATTCGTTAGACTAGATGTTTTTAAAAGGCTAGGGGTCTAGTTGTAACTTAAGCTGAGAAATCACCAAGCTTAAATGACTGTAGGGTTAATTCAGCTTTTTAATATATTGATCTATACGAAAACTTTTTGTTAATTACCAAAAAAAAAAAAAAAAAAAAAAAGGGGGGGGGGAAGGGGGGGGAGGGAAAAAAAAAGGGGGGGGGGGAAAGGGGGGGGGGGGGGGGGGGCCCCAAAAAAAAAAAAGGGGGGGGGGGGGGGGGGAGGGGGGGGGGGGGAGAAAAAAAAAAAAAAAAAAAAAAGGGGGGGGGGGAAAAGAAAAAAAAGGGGGGGGGGGGGGGGGGGGGGGGGGGGGCCCTTGGGGAAAAAAAAAAAAAAACGCAAAAAAAAATAAAAAAAGGAAAAAAAAATTAAAAGGGGGGGGAAGGAAAAAAAAAAAAAAAAGGGAAAAAGGAAAAAAAAAAAAAAAGGAAATTTTAAATAAAGGTAGGAAAAAAAGGCTTATTATTATTATTATATTATATTATTATAATTATTTAACTATATTAATATAATTACTATTAACAAAAATAGATAGACAAAAAAAAAAAAAAAAAAAAAAAAAAAAAAAAAAAAAAAAAAAAGAAAGGAAGGAAAAAAAAAAAAAAAAAAAAAAAAAAAAAAAAAAAAAAAAAAAAAAAAAAAAAAAAAAAAAAAAAAAAAAAAAAAAAAACCCCCCCCCCCCCGGGGGGGGGGGGGGGCCGGCCGGGGGCCCCCCCCGGGCGGGGGTTTTAAACCCAGAAAGGGTTTTATTTAAAAAAAACACATATTTGTCCTTTTCATAAAAAGCCCTAAACTGTATATAAACCAAATAAACGCATGTCAGTAAAATTATTTAAGAATATCTATTATTTAAATAAAACGCTTTAACGGTTTAAAACGCAAAATTAAATATATCGCATTTTAAACTGTTTAAGTGTTTTAATTTAACGTGTACTACTCCCGTAAACTATAGACAGTATTTAATATGACGATGCTAAAATCGACCAATTCATTAAAGTCAAAAGACTGAAATAAGGGGAACAGAGGAAATCCTTTCTGAACTCTCAACCTGGACGACCATGCATAGAAAACAGACTCTGCTACATACCTGTACTACGAATAGTATAATAATATACGAAAAAAAAAAAACAAAATAGCTCGACAGCGCATCTTGTTTAGATGCTATAGGTTATACTCAATATATATTAAGTAACTGTTACTGTAACTGACACTTATTTCTGTATATATTTGTTTACATATATTGTGTCACTTTAAACATAACTTTCGCTAACCGGTCATGTTAAAATATGCGGCGTTCGCTAAACGCGTCATTTCCACCGGGCCGGCAGTGTCAGAGTTATAAAACAAAATGTTAATTAAAATTTTGGAGACGTTCTCGATCTCATTTATAAAGCTTACGGTTTTCACTGTGCTTCGAGTTTTTGTCCTTTTGCGCGTCTTTTGTTTCCGCGGCTAACCAAAAGTGACGTTTAATGTATTGGAGATTTTCTTGGTTTCTCCGTAACTCATTCATAAATTTTTTTTTTAAGTGCATGTTTTAAATTGGGTAAAATCTATGCTAATATTATAAAGATAAAATGTTTGTTTCTTTCTAAGGAACTACTAGTTCGAATGGAAGAAATCTTTTTGTGTTGATTACAGCTTTAGGCTACAAATCATCAAGATAATAGGACGAAAAACAGTAGAAAATATTGAATAAAACGGGTATTTTTTATCTTTGTAGGTTTTTGTTGCGTGCTCTGCGAAAACGGTGCAAGATATCCAAAAATATTAAAGAATGATTCCTATTTTTTTTAAATAACTCATAAGAACCGTTACTATTGTGATCAAATGTTTTGGGATAAATACTTCATGTTATTATGGCAAAATAACATTAGCCAGGTCAGTTAGTTAATAAAAATGATGGTGTTTTAACCTTACAGATGTCCGGTGCAAACCACTAAACCAACGCGGCATTTACGTAGATTGTCTACCTGATATTTATAAATCAAATACGTTTGGCCCTCTGGAAGCGAAATCTGAAGAGGCAATCTATTGAATGCCCAGAGGACCCTTTAAAATGACAGAAGGTTTGACTGAGGCTTATCTCTAACGCTATTATAACTTGCCGATATTCGAGGTATATGTATAGGTAAAAATATTATTCTTTCGTCCGAAAAAAGTATGTTGTAGTTCTTTGTTTAAACTTTTCTATCTACGCTTTTAAAATATAGAATTCTGAATAACTTGTAATTCAAATACACTGTGTAGTTTACGCGAGTAGTACACATTTAAATAAAACACTTTAACGATTTAAAACGCGATATAGTTGAACATATTAGTTAAACTTGTTGTTATGGCCCAATGTTCTGGCTGCTGCACAGTATTCGAGTTAACTAATATATGTCGGAATTTCTAAAAGAATTCGACCTCGTCGACATTGTCTCTGACATATTATCAGTGGAAATAACCGCCAACGTTTCCAAACCCGATATCACAAGATGAATCTTTAAGTCGAATACTTACAGATAAGTACTTGACTCGACAATTGTAATTTCGACGTTACCGTAACATACAACAGAGACAACTATGCCTAACTTCAGTATGGCGGCAATTCACATAGTACTAAAATTATAATTCTCCGACATATATATCATGTTTTAAGCCGTTCAAGTGTTTTATTAAAAAGCTTGTAATTTGTTCCTAAGCAAGAAATACCATTAAACGGGTAAGCTAATTATAGTATATAATTTCATTAAGTTAACAACCGTTCTATAGAAAGAAAGAGGGAAGGTGAAGGAACTGTTAACCACAGACTCACTATTCATCTAGCTAGTCATTGATTACCAAAATACCTTCCAAATAAATCCGTTCGGCCTCTACATCAAAAGAGCCAACATACGTACGTACTAGTAACGCTATGGTCTGCTAGAAAAGTCGAAGACCGCAAACACATCCACAAACTATACCGCGATATATATTTTGACAAAATTCTACTTAGGAGACATTCACTGTGGTAGGCGTGATGAAGCCATACAAGACTAAATGCCTCATTTCGTCGCATACGCATGTATTGACGACAAAACTTGCTGATAAATTACTTTTCATGACATAGGAGGATAGATAAGTATTGAGTTCACTTGAAATTGAAAAAAATTAAACAACATGTGATGTAAACGTTTTTGGCTTCGGACGTTTCCCCTAAAATGTCCCCCTTTTTTGGCTTCGGACGAATCCATAGACTGAATCAAACCGACGGCGATAACACAATACGACTAGTCCATCTGAGAAGAGGGGGTTCGTCACCCGGGTGGAATTTAGATATATCTACCACCTGTTGCTCTACCAGTTGCTCGCGGTCATTGACCCAGACTAGACATATCTAAGTACCTACCCGCGCTATTTACAAAAATGGTGAAGTGCATTAAATGCAACAAGTTAATAACTAAAAATTTGCCTGGATTACAGTGCATTACGTGTAATAAATGGACGCACGGAAAATGCGCCAACTTAACTAACGAACAGTTAAATGTTCTTTTCTCGACCGAATCTGCGGATTGGAAGTGCCGTAATTGTTCCGGGCCAAAATCTAAACCGAAGCGGTTATCGTTTATTATGCCCGACGCCGAAGAAGACGATATCTCCGACTCCGAAGACCAAATCAAATCGGGTCTCAAGAAGAACATTTTAAACGAAATCAAAATAGAAATACGGGATATTATTAGAACGGAGATGCAAAGTGTCATGCAATTTTATATAGAAAAAATGGATGAGTACGAGCACAAGTTTAAAACATACGAAAACCAAATACGTGATCTTACTAATTCCAATAAAAATACAAAATTAAAATACGATGCATTGCAACAAAAAATAAACAATATGGAACAAAAACTGCTCTGTAATCAAGTGGAAATACACGGTATTCAAGAAGAGGAAAATGAAAATATATTAGAAATATGCAAGAATTTTTGTAATATAGTTAAAGTACCGCACGGGAGTGTTATTAAGGCGTATAGAAAGAAGTCTAGGAGAAATCGATCCGACAAGAAAGCGACATCCCCAATTGTGGTAGTTCTTTCCGACGAAGATAAAAGGGATAACTGGATGAAAGCATCAAAAAAAATTAGTATTACCTCGAAAGATTTAGGATTGCAAGGTGATGGTAAGATTAGAAACTTTGAAGCCCTAACACCTACCAACTCTTTTCTACTATGGAAGGCAAAATCCAGCCTCCATGAGACTGGATTGTGTAAATATGTTTGGTGTAAGAAAGGAGTGATAAGAGTTAAAAGAGAGGAAGGAGACAGAACCTTTATCGTGCGATCAGAAGAAGACATAGAAAAAATAATTTGTGAATATAGTGAACTGAATTGTATAGAGAAGGAAGACGAGGAGTAAGTTATTATTTATATTATAATTTTACGCATTTATTACGTTAATTAAGATGGATTCAACTAATAATGTAAGTTACGAAACAACGGCAAACTCATGGAATGAATTTATACACACGCTACCCACAAGAAAGCAAGCCCTAATAACACTTCACGTTAATATAAGATCTATTATAAAAAACTTTGCTCAACTGGAATACATAGTAAATAGTAGCAAAGTCGTTATCAGCATAATCGCTTTAACCGAGGTGAATATATCGAGCGAATGTGTCAACATGTTCCAGCTAAAAAACTATGAGATGTACCACGAACTGCGCGATGGGAGAAGAGGTGGTGGTGTCATCCTATACGCCCATAAAAGTCTAAACTTTATCAGAATCCCTACGACAACCTTTAGTTTCGAATGTATCTCCGGCATTGTGACCCAGTCAAACAAATATAAAGTAAACGTGTGTGCAGTGTACAGACCACCGAACCTAAGCAAACAGTTATTCATATCCGAATTAAGCAGCGTTATACCTGTATGTGCACAAAAAAATAATTATATTTTACTAGGTGATATGAACTTAAACTTATTGTGTAAAACGAATAGCTACGTAAGTAATTACTTAAATAAACTAAGCGAATTAGGCTTCCATCAGGGAATTAGTCAACCTACGCGTGTTGAGTTAACAAATAACCGAGCTACGAGCACATGCATCGATCACATCTTTATACGCGAATATAATAACTCAAAACCAATTCACACCGTGGTCGTAAAGAATACGCTGGCCGATCACTACATAACCGGTTTAGCGATAACAGAGATCGAGCGAGACAGTGCGCAATGCAAAAAGATACGTAGACTCGATAGTAATAAGGTTAAAGTTCTATTGCGGGAGGTTGACTGGTCTCCTGCCTTAAATTATAATTGTGCAAATGATGTACTGAACTTTATTATTTGTAAATTTAACAAAATTTATGATAAATGTTATACCACCGAAACAAATAACTGTAGAAAACGGAACATGACTTGTAATTGGGCGAATGAAAGAATGTTATCTATGTGCTCTAAAAGGGATGAGCTACGTGCCATATGGCAGAGTGACATAAATAATAGTGCTAATCATCTACTTTACAATAAATATAGAAACAAAACTAATTAATATATAAATAAATTAAAAAATAAAAGCATTAAAAAAGAGATAAGTGTAAATTTTAAAAATTCTAAAAAAGTGTGGAATATAATAAATTCACTATGTGGTAAAATAACCCGCACAATTGATGACATTTTAACAAAACATTTCCAGAATAATAGTGTTAGTGAGATAGCTAATAACTTTGCCTACGGATTTGCACAAAACGTAAATAACATTAAGTACGCGTGCAACACGAATATCCTAAGCGAAGAGACATATGTCACTCAGCCGTGTCTCACCATGAGACTAAAAAAAAGCAAATAGCGAAATTGTCGAAACGATTATCAAGACACTAAACCGAAGAAAAAGTCCTGGGTTCGACGGTGTGCGGGTCTCTGATGTGAAAGATATTGCGTGCCACATAAGCCCTGTATTAGCACACTTAATAAACTTGTGTATTACGCAAAGAACTTACCCGGACAAATTAAAGATAGGTGTTATCAGGCCGATACATAAAAAAGGAACATATAAAGACGTCAATAATTATAGACCGATTACTATATTGTCAACCATAGATAAAATTTTAGAAAAATATCTAGGTAAAGAAATAGAAAACTTTTTGGAGAATAATAAAATAATTAATGAATATCAGTTTGGCTTTCAGAAAAATAAAAATACAAGCCAGTTGCTGTCTAAATTTAGTAATGAAATTAACTCACACATTAATAGTAAAAAACATGTAATTGCAATTTTTATAGACTTCTCGAAGGCTTTTGAAACTTTAAATTTTTCCACACTATATAAAAAAGTCGCTCAAAGTGGTATTCAGGGTCCTCTGCTTGACCTCCTGAAAAATTACCACACTGACAGGAAAACTACAGTCAAAGTAGAAAACGCCTACAGTAAGTTTTTAGCAACCACAATGGGCTCAGCCCAGGGTTCCGTGGTAGGGCCAACCGAATACCTGCTCTACTGTAACGATATGTGCAATGTCATAGAGGGGGGTTCCGTATACCAATTTGCCGACGACACATGTATTCTGGTAGCCGACACAAGTGTCGGTAGGGCGCAAAAACATATGCAATGGAACTTCGACAGGGTATGTGCGTGGGCGCACGACATGGGACTAGTCATTAATTATGATAAAACAAAACTAATGCATATACATTCCTCACGGCTGTCGTATGACCTGGTCCCATGCGTGCGATCTCACTCACATCAATGTCTCCATACGCAGAACGACAGCAGCGGCCAATGTAAGTGCCCTATTCTGGAATCTGTTGCCCAGCATACCTACCTAGGCCTTAAAATAGACAACAGATTTACTTGGAAACCGCATGTCACGTTTGTTTGTGAAAAGTTAAGAGCTATATTGTGTAAATTAAGTCTGCTTAAGTCCAAACTAAAATATTCGACTTTAAGGCTTATATATAATGCGCTAGCCGATTCAGTAATCGGGTATGGACTCAGCAGCTACGGGAGGACCTACAAGACCTACCTGAATAGCATTTACAGGATACAGATCAAAATATTAAAGACGATAGCACCGAGGGTCTATAAAAATTGCAATAGTAAACATGAGCTATTTGAAAAATGCAAAGTAATGCATATCTTCAATAAATTTAAATTTTTTTATTTATGCGAAGAAATAGGGTATATCCAGGAATTAGAAGTTAAGAAAAGACCTGATAATTTAAGACCCCTCGATTATTTGCCTAGATATGTTCTGCCCCCTTTTAACAATGCTTACGGAAAGCGCACACGCACTTATTTATTGCCCTTGCTTCTGAACGAGTTAGATGAACACACGCACAATAAACTAGTAAAAGATCCGGGAAGAAGCAAGGCAATTCTTAAGCCGTTTTTATATCTAGTTTTATATCTAGTTTTATATTTAGTTTTATATTTAGTTTGATATATTTAGTTTTATATTTAGGTTTATATTTAGTTAATAATGTTATATTGTTTGCCTTTTTTGTATTGTTAATTTTAGTTAAAATAAGTTAATATTGGAGTATATATGACCCGAGCAGAAGATAAGAAACCGTTATAACGGTTTAAAAAAAAAAATGTTTTTTAAATTGTATTATATATTAGTGTTGGTGTACAAAATAAATAAAAAAAAAAAAAAAAAAAAAAAAAAAAAAAAAAAAATATTTAGATTCACCCGACGTCCAATATGTTAAAAACTTAGAAGCATGTTGGACCCATTACATATATTTATAAGTATAATTTTTTATAATTTATATATTTATAAGGCCCCTTTGATTCTTAGACTTGGTTGGTGCTAAACTGTTTGCTGCTAATAGCGTTGATATGTGACCATAGCTTTAGCAAGTTTTGCAAAGGCAAGCGCTTAATATAGACCCGCCGGTCTCAAAGTATTGATTGGGTCGACAGATGTAGCTCCGCCCTAAGCTAATTATTTTGCCTAATTACTATCAAAGACTGATGGCCTTAACCATTTATAAACACAGTCCAAGTTAATTAGTTTAGGCGCCTAAAATTGTTACCAAGGACGATCAAACTTTAACGGGGCTCATTTATCTAATGGTACCAATGGATACCCATCAGGTCAACGTCGTGGGTTCGAGCCACGCCAGACCCAATTTATTTCTAATGGATTTATAATTTTTCTGAAACATATTGGACTTCGTTTGAATCTGGATATTAATTGGTGGTAGGAAAATCAAAATTCCGTTCGGCTCACGAACCATCCAAGCAGACAAGTTTAATTATGATTTCTTTAGTCTGGAATTTTCGAATATCCGAAGATGTTATATGGCTGCCATTAAATAAACCTTGTCTATTATAGCTTGTCATAATTGTACCTGTAAAGCCTAATAATAGTAAAGTTAACTTTTCTTAATTCTTCCTAGATGCAGAAGCATAAGAAATATGATTGTTAACATAGCCATATTATAAAACAATAAAAAGTATTGTCTGTTTAAGTAAAGCTTCATTAAAATAATTTTAGTCTTAAGTAAAGATTAATCTAATATAAAAATTATATAGGTCTATTTGAATTTATCACCACTAAAGTATCATATGTTTAAATATAATTTCCTTTTAAATATTCTGTTATTGAATATAAGTGTACATTTTTTTCTATGGGCCCAAATGTGTACTACTCGCGTAAACTACACAGTGTTTAAAATAACAAGTTACTTAGAATTCTATATTTGAAAAGCGTAGATAGAAAAGTTTAAAAAAACCTATTACGTTAGGTTTTTTTCATCTATTTGTTTTACGAAAGTTTAGTAAGTACTTACTCTAATTAGGTTACTTACAATTATAACCATTACACAGAAGCTCTCTAGAATATAATTGTTTAACTTCATTTCTTATTGCAATCCTCCGAGTTACATAAAAGTATTATTTCTTAACACTAACGGCTTCAGAAAAGTTGGGTTAAAGAACTCTACTTTGACCTTGTTTGAGCTCTTTATAAAGTTAGTGACTTTGTTATGCGACTTTTGTTACTGGATTATATTATTATATTCTGTTACTGAGTTGTTGAGGTGTAATGTTGTGTCAAAGGGGCTAACGAATGAATTGTACGAGTGTATTAATCGTTGATTGCTATCATCTTTATCTTATAGGGTGTGCATTGAATTCGAATTTAAAATACTACGATTACTTTAATACTAATTATTTTATGACAGAGAAGAGCTAAGGAAACAGTATTACAACTAAGTCTTTTCAAATGCAAAAACTAGATTTAAAGATGAAGTTTAACTTGTTTCAGAAAAGTTACGAATTTGTTGTTTTAAGAAAACGTTAGACCTGGTAGAAGTCAATTACAAGTCCCATTGTACCATAACGCGTATATCTTTCATTATAGATATTATCCGAACAACAAGCAGATTTACATATTCGTTAGATAGGG